TGAGAAACAGAAACTAACACCACCTAGGAGGCAAATGCCACAAGGACCTTCGTGGGGGCAGCCTCGCCTAGGTCAGTGCCGAGTCATCTGATGGGGAGGTCTCGTCCAATTCCAGCCGTAGCAACTGGGAGGTTTGGGTACCGGGGACTGGGGTGATGAGCATGCATCTGCAACAACTCCACCACAGTGAGATTGGGACCCAGGAAAGCCAAGCCGGGCCTTATCAATATAGCAGTTGTGGGGAACCTTTTTTCACTCTTGAGGGCCACATTCACTTCTGGGCAGGCTTTTGCGGGGCACATGTCAGTGGTGGGCGTGGCCAGAGGCAAAAGTGGGCGGAGCATCTGCCGTGACTCTTACCTGTGCGCAGCTGGCTGCTTTCTACACACACTCCCACACCAGGCAAGCGAGAGGCATATCTCGAGGATGCTGCATATGGGACAGAGGCATATTCCTGCCTTGCAGGGGGTTGGACTAGATGATCCTCAGGGTCCCTCCCAACTCTACATTTCTTTTCTTTTCTAATAATTAAATAAATTTTATTAGTATTTTCCAAACAACAACAAGAAAACGAAAAATATCGAAAAATAACAATACACAAAAACCAACAATCGAAAACTAAAAAAGCAACAACTAAAACAAAACAAAACAAATCCATATCTTACAAGTTAATAATATAAACATTAAAAGAACAACAAAACATTGACTTCCACCAATCCCTTTTTTTTAAATGATATTTATTAAAATTTCAAAAGAAAAAGATTACATTGATAAAAAAAAATAACAGTAGAAAAAAGAAAAATACAAAGTACAAAAAAGAAAAAACAGTTAAAAACAATTCCATCTTTTCATCACTTCTCTTACATTTACTTGTTTCCCGGACCTCCTCATACCTCCCTTTTTTGTATTCCAATTCAATTTGTTAGTCCAGCAATTCCTTTCCCTCCTTTTTAATCCTGATCTTTAATCTTAATATATTATAACATTAAGTTTTTACGTATTGAAAACCAATTTTTCCATATTCTTTTATACTATTACAGCTAGAAACCACTTAACTTCAATCCAACATCATTCTAACATTCATTAATTTTACAATATTTCTGTAAGTAGTCTTTAAATTTCTTCCAATCTTCTTCCACCGACTCTTCTCCCTGGTCTCGGATTCTACCAGTCATTTCCGCCAATTCCATGTAGTCCATCATTTTCATCTGCCATTCCTCCAGTGTGGGTAGATCTTGTGTCTTCCAATGCTTTGCAATAAGTATTCTTGCTGCTGTTGTAGCATATACTTCCACCAATCCCACAGCACCTCCTTTATCTCTCATTGTGTCTTCCTGTTTTCCTTATCATCTCTATCCTAACATCTAGATATAAATCCCTCCTTCTTATCCTTTCACTTCACAACTCTACATTTCTATGTTCCTGTGATTGTATGATTTGCTCCCCGGGCCTCAGGCTCTTCGTGCCTTCCAAATGGGCTTGCTCTGAGCCGTTTCTCTGCCCAACTGGAATGCTGTGGAATTTCAGGCTTTTAAAAAATGCCCCACAGGCGGCTTCTTCTTCTTTGGTGATCCCTCATAGCCGAGTAAGATTGTCTTCCATAAACATGGTCTTAACAGTGAGTCCATAAGTGACTGTGGAGGCCAATTCTGGATCCACACGTCCTTCCACAGTGGGGACATGGGTTTCCAGGTGGGAGTTGATCACAGTGAGGGTTTGCCAAGCGTGCCTTCCTCTTAGCACGTTTCTCCCTTTCGTCCTGAGTTTGAGCATCTTCAAAGTCCATGACACCTTTGGTAAAGGCTGTTCTCCAACTGGAGTGCTCGCAGGCCAGTGTTTCCCAGTTGTCGGTTTTTATACTACATTTTTTTAGATATGCCTTGAGAGAGTCTTTGAACCTCTATTGTTGACTACCAGCATTATGCTTTCCATTTTTAAGTTTGGAATAGAGTAGTTTCTTTGGAAGACGATCATCAGGCATCTGCACAACATGACCAGTCCAACGAAGTTGATGTTGAAGAATCATTGCTTTGACAATGGTGATCTTTGCTTCTTCCAGTACACCGGCATTAGTTCACCTGCCTTCTCAGGTGACATGTAAATTTTTTTAGAGACACCATTGATGCAATCTTCTGAGGAGTTGGAGTTTATAAGTGGTCCACGTTTCACAAGCATACAGTAAGGTTGGTAGTACCATAGCTTTGTAAACAAGAATTTTGGTTTCCTGCGAATGTCCCGGTCCTCAAACACTCTGCACTTCAATCAGGAGAAAGCTGCACTCATTGATCCTAGATGATGCTGGATTTCAGCATCAATGTCTGCCCTTGTGGAAAGATAACTGCCCACGGACTTGTTTCCATTTCCCTCCTCCAAAAGGCCATTTTTCAGGGACATCCCGCCTCAAATTCTCCCGTTCGTCCCTTACAAACAAAGTTCTTCATGTTGCTGGCACTGGTAAGATCTTCTCGCGAGTCGCGCTTCCACGAGCAAGCCCTTCCTTGCTTTGTAAAATGTTCCTCCCTCTGATCTTGCAGCCTTATTCCTTGGCACTGCTCCAGAAGAAGTTAGAGGGTCTAAAATCCATTTGCTTTCCCTGAAAATAGCTGCCTATCGATTGACCGGCGTCCAGTGCTACAGGAGGGTGCTAAAATGCTTCCCCTTCTACAAACTGGAGGCTGGGAAGCTGTGTCCCAAAGCGGCTTGGCTTTCAAATGAGAAGGCATTTTAACAAATCTCTGCAAGTAGCTTCCAAGTTTTGGGATGGGTGTTTTGTTTTGTTTTTATATGTGGGGCTTGGGATGCCCCTAATGGGATGCAATCTCCGGGTTCCCCCTCTCCTCCTTGCCACTATTGCTGGTGCCCGTTGGTTCATCACCATCACCATCACAGAATCATAAAATTATAGAACTGGAAGAGACCCCCCCAAGGCTCACCAACCACCTGCAATGCAGGAATCTCATTCATTCATTTCATTTCAACGCCGCTTTATATTTTAAAGAAAAAGTCTAAAAGTGACTTGCATCATATTAAGATATCCAATAAAGCAGAAGAAAGTAAAAAACAAACAAACCCCAAAGTATATGTTGAGAGTGACATAATTAACAGGAAAGCAAAATACTATCTTAAAGATTTCAAAATAAAATATTACAAAGAAGCCCAACTACAGAGTGCACATTTGACACAGCAACTCTAACCATTTTTTTTTTAATCTTAAACATTTCTCAAGAAAACAATACTGTTGTTGTTGTTTAGTCATTTAGTCGTGTCCGACTCTTCGTGACCCCTTGGACCAGAGCACGCCAGGCACTCCTATCTTCCACTGCCTCCCGCAGTTTGGTCAAACTCATGCTGTTAGCTTCGAGAACACTGTCCCACCATCTCATCCTCTGTCGTCCCCTGCTCCTTGCGCCCTCCATCTTTCCGAACATCAGGGTCTTTACCAGGGAGTCTTCTCTTCTCATGAGGTGGCCAATGTATTGGAGCCTCAGCTTCAGGATCTGTCCTTCCAGGGAGCACTCAGGGCTAATTTCCTTCAGAATGTATACGTTTAATCTTCTTGCAGTCCATGGGACTCTCCAGAGTCTCCTCCAGCACCATAATTCAAAAGCATCAGTTCTTCGGCGATCAGCCTTCTTTATGGTCCAGCTCTCACTTCCATACATCACTACTGGGAAAACCATAGCTTTAACTATACGGACCTTTGTTGGCAAGGTGATGTCTCTGCTTTTTAGGATGCTGTCTAGATTTGTCATTGCTTTTCTTCCAAGAATCAGGCGTCTTTTAATTTCGTGACTGCTGTCACCATCTGCAGTGACCTACCAATGGTGGTTCATGGCAAATAGTGGCTACGGAAGCTCAGGCTTTGTACCAAGAGGCAGCCAAGATGGTCTCCAGCCTCTCCTCCAGCCTCTGCATTTGTAGCTGGAGTCAGTCCGGGCCCTGTCCTCCCAGGCCAGGTGGGGAAAGGCCTGCAAGGCAGGGAGGTGGTCTTCCAGGACTCACAGCCAAGGTGGTTTGTCCACCCTCTGAAGGCCCGATCCGAGAGAGAACAGGTAAACAGGTAGCGACAGCAAGGAGGAAGCCGTGTCGGCCCCCACCCCCTGTAACAATTTGGTCTCCTTGGCCTGGAATGGAGAATTTGGGGGTGCATTTCCATGCAACACCCAATATGATGGCACTGTAGAGGGCTGAACTAGATGACCCCCTGGGTCTCTTCCAACTCTGCAATTCTGTGATTTTATAGTCTGCCTTTCTGGGGAGGCTTCGTTGAACTCCGGTGTGGTGTAGCGCAGCGATGGGGAACCTCAGCCTCAGGAGGGGCAAATGTGCCCCCCCAGACCTCTCCATCTGCCTGCTCAGGCCTCTTCCCTTCTTTTCACTCCCCCCCCCCATGCCATGTGCACTTGGGACCCTCTATTTGTGTGGGGTCGGTTTGCACGCACCCCTTGCTTCCTGCAGAGGAGGTTAACAGCACTCCAGCCATTGCAGAACCTGCTTTTGTCTCGAGCTGCAAACTGCCGCCACATCAGCAGTCCGGTCACAAGCACACCTGCCTGACTTCATTCCTCAGGCAGGCTCTGCCGCCCGTCTGCCTTCTTAGCTGGAGGCGATGCGCGCTCAGGAAGGCAGGCGAGACGTGCGGAAGGAGCATCAAATGCTGCCAGCTAGCGGTGCTCGCTTTCCTCTCTTTTGAAATCCGAGGCAAGGCCAGGTTATCAACCCAGGCAGCTGTCTTGCAAGAACATCGGCACTGGCGAGAGGGCTGGAGATTCTCTTCTGCTCTGCCGGTTGCAAAATGGTTTTTCTGTCCTCTGGCCTGTTCTGGGTGTGGGTTCTCAGCCCTGGAATTGCCTCTGAAGCCACAGAGGCAGAGGAACAGCCTTCTCTTCACTCACAGAGGGAACCAGATCTTGCTCAAAATAGCTCTGGCATTAGAGTCTGGCTGGGTGAGAAAATGGGACGGAGACAAGGATGGAGCCAACTTTTCTGCAGCCTCTCCTTCAGCTTAGTGGTAGAGCATCTCCTTTGCATGCAAAAGTTCCCAGGTTTGATCCCTGGCATCTCATAGAATCGTAGAGTCGTAAGGGATCCCCAGGGGTCATCTAGTCCAACCCCCTGCAATGCAGGAATCTCAGCTCAAGCATCCACGGCTGATAGCCATCCAACCTCCAAGAAAACCTCCAAGAAAGATTCGCGAGGAATCTGCTCCACTTTCGAACCGCTCTTGCTGTCAGAAAGTTCTTCCTGGTGTTTAGTCGGGATCTCCTTTCTTGCAACTTGAAGCCATGGGTTCGAATCCTACCCTCCAGAGCAGGAGAAAACAAGCATGCTCCCTCCTCCATGTGACAGCCCTTAAGATATTTGAAGATGGCTCTCCTATCACCTCTCAGTCTCCTCTTTTCCAGGCTAAACATACCCAGCTCCTTCAAGAGCTCCTCATAAGGCTTAGGTTCCAGACCTTTGATCATCTTGGTCACCCTCTTCTGCACACCTTCCAGCTGGTCAACATCCTTAAATTGTGGTGCCCAGAACTGGACACAATATTCCAGGTGTGGTCTGACCAAGGCAGAATAGAGTGGTACTGGCCTGCGAGCGCTCCAGTTGGAGAACAGCCTTGACCAAAGGACTTTGAAGACACTCGAACGCAGGACGCAAGGGAGAAATGTGCTAGGAGGAAGGCACGCCTGGCAAATCCACACCATGATCAACTCCTGCCTGGAAACCAATGTCCCCACTGTGGAAGGACGTGTGGGTCCAGAACTGGCCCCCACAGTCACTTATGGACTCATTGTTAAAACCGTGTCTATGGAAGACAATCTTACTTGGCTGCAAGGGATCGCCGAAGACTGTACTTCTGTTGATGCAGCCTAGAATAGCATTAGCTTTTTTTGCTGCTGCATCACACGGTGGACTCATGTTCAGCTTGTGGTGCACCAAGACCCCTAGATCCTTTTCACATGTACTACTAGCAGGTGTCCCCATCTCCAGGTACGGCTGCGAGTTTTGCTGCCTATCTGTTTGGCCAATCCTCAGATAAATGGACCACTGCTCTGACTTGGGATAAGGCAGCTTTCAATGTCCCTGCGATTCTGCATTCAGCGACTTTCTCAGGAAAATTTACAGGATTAAATTCTCTGTTCTGGATCACTGCCATTGCCAACTGACATCAGTTTTTTAAAAACAAGAAAAAAATCTCAGCAATTTGCTTACTCTACATTTCCATTCCTCAAACAGAAATGGTCGCATCACAAATTTAAAAGCCTCTCATAATTTATTTTTCACTTTAATCTTATTTTTGTGTGATTTCTCCAAAACTGCTATAGTCTGTACATGTAAATTGAAATGTTTGGATATTCTATTTTCTTTTCTTTTGTTTTTAAGTTATTTACTGACATAACTTGGGGCAAATGATTGTTCTGTGTGAAGTAATGATGCACAACTTCAGCCGCATCTTGGCTGAAGTTTTGGGCGAGGTTAGCAGGGCTTTAGGACCCGGTGGAAGAAGCTGGTGAACACGCTGTTCTTTCCACCACCATAAAAAGGACCGAAATAGGTTCGCTCATGTTCTTTGGAAGAGGAAATATTACTCTGCAAAGTGTTAATCACTTGGAGGAGGTTGGACCCAGAATGTTCAGACAGGAAAATTCATTTCTCTGGGACACAGGGCTGTTAATACAGGCTGTTCCCTTAACGAGATGGGCTTCTCCGATTTAATTGAATAAATCCCTGCCACTGAACACCTCTGATTTGCAGCTGCCAAGCTCAAGTGCCATCTGATCAATATTGTGCCCTGTCCGAGAAAATGATCCTCATTTGAGAACTGTCCTCAAGGTGAAAGGCTCATCTTTCAATGGGTACAGAAGATGCCTCATCAACTCTCTCTGAACTTTTCGGAAATTGCGAGGGAGATGGAGGGGCAGCACTGATGGTGGGGTGCAGAGACCAGGTGTGGTGAAAGTATGTGGGTGGCCATTTTCATTTCACCACCCCCCCCGGAGGAAATTCATCATACACACGAAAGGACACTGGTTTGCATAACATTTGCATATGATAATTGAGAGGGGCAGTAGTGATGTATGGAAGTGAGAGCTGGACCATAAAGAAGGCTGATTGCCGAAGAACTGATGCTTTTGAATTATGGTGTTGGAGGAGACTCTTGAGAGTCCCATGGACTGCAAGAAGATTAAACGTATACATTCTGAAGGAGATCAGCCCTCAGTTCTCACTGGAAGAACAGATCCTGAAGCTGAGGCTCCAGTACTTTGGCCACCTCATGAGAAGAGACGACTTCCTGGAAAAGACCCTGATGTTGGGAAAGATGGAGGGCACAAGGAGAAGGGGACGACAGAGGATGAGATGGTGGGACAGTGCATGAGTTTGACCAAACTGCGGGAAGCAGTGGAAGACAGGAGTGCCTGGCGTGCTCTGGTCCATGGGGTCACGAAGAGTCGGACACGACTAAACAACAATTGAGGGGGCAAGATGCCTTCAGCTTGTGGGCCAAATGAGATCCAGCTGGAAGTCAGCAGTGCAAAAGATCTTCCTCTGTAGGCTCAACCTGGGATATACTAAAAAAAAAGTTAAATTGCAAAAGAAAGGAAGAAAGGAAGAAAGAAAGAAAGAAAGAAAGAAAGAAAGAAAGAAAAGGGTGGGGTGAATCCAGAGTTGCACCCAAAATTCATGGATTGGCTCCCAGTACGTTTCCGAGCACAATTCACAGTGTTGGTGCTGACCTTTAAAGTCCTAAACTGCCTCGGTCCAGTATACCTGAAGGAGCATCTCCACCCCCATCTTTTTGCCCGGACACTGAGGTCCAGCTCCGAGGGCCTTCTGGTGGTTCCCTCCCTGCGAGAAGCCAAGTTACAGGGAACCAGGCAGAGGGCCTTCTTGGTAGTGGCACCCGCCCTGTGGAATGCCCTCCCACCAGATGTCAAAGAGAAGAACAACTACCAGACTTTTAGAAGACATCTGAAGGCAGCCCTGTTTAGGGAAGCTTTTAATGTTTGATGGACTACTGTATTTTAATATTTTGTTAGAAGCCGCCCAGAGTGGATGGGAAAGCCCAGCCAGATGGGCGGGGTATAAATAATACATTATTATTATTATTATTATTATTAGCCCATCTGGTGAAGAGTCACTGGTGTCTCTCCCTCCTGCTCCGCTCCCCCCTTGTCTCTTAGACCCAGAAGGGCAGAGGGGATTTTGGGGACGAACAAACGCAGTCTCCAATTGCTTGGGAGAGGAGGAGACATAGACGGCTGTTGGAATTTGGGGACCTTTAGTCTTGGCAACTGATTTCACAGAGTAAGACCTACAGGAAATGAGCCGCTGTGCTCATTTGGCCTCACACTCAGCCAGGTCTGTGGAGATCCAACTTTGAGCTGTGAGATTCACTGGCCGGCTCGCTCTGTGGCACCCAACTCCTTGGTGAGGCCAGTCCAGTCTCTGTAACACGGGGACAACTAACAGCACTCCTCTGGATGACTCCAGGGTTTGAGCAGTTCTTCAGGTAAAGTCCATATATCCTACGCAGACCCTGAGATAAGCATCTCAGGCTCTTCTCTTTATGTACCCTAGTCCAAGGTAGATCCGGATGATGGCGACAAGAGACGGGGTCTTCTCTGTAGTAGCCCCAGTTCCTGCAAGGCAACCTTCCTGGTGCCAACCTTGTCACTGTTTCAGCACAAGGCAAATGTGTTCTTGTTTTGGGCAGCACCAACGATACATTTTTGGAGTGTCAAATGTGGTCCGTCTCCCCAATGTTTATGTGATTTTATTACTTTGTAAATCACTCCGGGGTTTCTTATCATTTAGCGGGAAATGATGAATAAGGTTAATTGTTGGTATCTGTTTGTCTCGGGAGACAATGGAGGAGTGCACCTTTGAGGGTGAAGTCAAAACTGTTGGGAGGTTACAGTGGTACAGGATACAGGAGAGACATGTTTTGTTGCAGCTGTGGCAGGTGGAGGCGTTTTGTTGGGCTGCTGCAGATGCACCACGGCGTTTTTTCTCTCCCGGCAGTCATTCCTCCTCTGGTCACTTCCAGCCTCCATGTCACATTTGCAAACTTTCCCTAAAACCTCGCCTTCCTTAAACAGCAACAGCCAGATTTGCAAAATTATTTATTATTTCCTTCCTTGGTTGAAAGCCAAGCCCTCACCCGGAAGACTTCATATTCACTTGAAGACTCTTTCTCTCTTCAACAACACAAGACCCAGACCTAGCACTTCTTTGATCCCTCAGGGCGCCCCTCAGAGAGTTGAGTGCTAATGCATTGTAAGTACGGCTAATCCAACTCCGGCCGCCCAGACCGATTACAGTGACTTTCCTTTCCTCTCTTTCTTTCTGATTTTATATCGTAGTTAGCACCTAATCCTCCTTCAGTCCTGCAGGCTTTGCTATGTTATCTGCTCCGCTACAATATGGTGAGAGAAAGCAAGATTTCTAGGGGAAAGTATTAAGGAGGATTATATGGAGATTAGACCAGAATTAGAATGAGAGACAGACAGACCGACAGGGGGAAAATACCCTCACAATGCTACAAGTCATTTGCAAAAGGAATTTTAAAATTTCAGCTTTTGGAATGCGTTGTTTTGCGATGGAGGGGCATTTGAGACTCCTTCTGTTCACTTAGAGGGCTGGGTGGGCAACAATATCTTCCTCCCGCACTGACATCTTTGGGCTCTTCCAGACGGACCATTTATTAAATCTGCATCCTGATTTGCTTGCAAAAGCTTCCTCGGTCTCCTTCTGATTTGTTTGGGTGGCGCTTATCTGGCAATGAGCATTCAGCCTGATGTGCTTGCGGGGTGTTTGCATGTCTTCCCAATTAACCTTCCGTTCATCCCACGCTTCTCAAAATTCTGGAGATCACACAGATCCCGAATCCAAGACGTATTAGCTATTTATGTTTGTGTGTCTCATTTCTCAAACGGATCGCCCCTGTGCCACCCGATTAAAATTCACGGGGCATCCTGTATTGGTTTCAAGCTTACCTTCCTCAAAGGGTGTTTCTGGGGCTGCTGGCATCCTTGCAAGGTTTCCGTGCGAGCTTCTTGGCTTTTGA